GCTGGGCTCTTCCATTTGTTTTTTTCTGCATTATGGCCCTTCGATTTACTTTTCTCGACCCAAATGAAATTAAAAACCTATGAGGCGGTGGTTCTCCCCCTTCCATTTCGTACGATCCACTGTTGGAGTTTTCCCACATATTCCCCTTCTATGACTTTTTTGCTGCGATTATCACGATTGTTGCGATTTAAGAAATCGAGTGAAGCATTTAAAAATTATTTATTATAGTGATAATTATTATGATATTTTACGAATCTTTTGCTAATATTGTTCGTTAAAAAAATTTAGGAAAAACGAATGCTATCAATATTAGCGAAGGATAATACGAGTAATTATTGTGTAAATTGCTTAAAATCTTTCAATATATTTCAACGAGCAATTACATGTCCAAGATGCCAAAGGCCAATTTGCAAAAATTGTATAATAAAAAATTTCTGCAAAATATGCCTTGATGAAAGGTTTTTATTCTATTATCATTTATTATTACTAGTATTATCGTTATTAATTATTATTAATTACTATCATTTATTATTATTATTACTATTGTAATTATCAATTATGAATTAGTATTATTATTATTTCCTATCATTGCCAAATTTGTTTTTGCCGCTTTTCTTCGTGTTTAGTCTTTCATTTCTGTGATTGCAATTAAATTTATTATTCATTGCAAAATAATTATTATCGGTGGTATTTTAAAAAAGTTTTCAAAAATAATCATTAGCTATTGCTTAATTTTCTAGTTTAAAAAATTAAAGCCAACGATTTTTTTTATTCAAAAAATGGATAAAGAATAAAAAATTTTTTGTTTATTTTCCTTTCTGGTTCTTATGATAAATTTTTTATTTCAGTTTTATTAAATATAAAATTGAAGAATGGAAAATTTTATGTCCATATTTGGAATGCGAATATGGTTGCGCAAAATTTATGTGTAACGATAATCAGCGATGTACTCAGGTAAATAAAATTTTTCATAATATAGCTTATTTAAAAAGTTAAAATTTTTTTAATAATTCGCAAAATTTAAGCCGAAATAAAGTTTTTGGATAGAAAACTCATTATTTACTAATAATTATAGAATTTCGATAGAAATTTCAATAGCTTTTTCAGGCTGATTGGGTGAAAAGGGCGGAAATTGAATTGCATGTGAACCGTATATTGAACACTAATTTAGATACTTTTGATGTATCGTTTCTTATTGTCTGTAAGAAATATTCCCTATTTTTTTTTCATATTTTTTTAAGTTTAAAACGTTGTCAACTGGCCATACGCCACATCTCCGTATTTTTATAAGTCACCAATGATTTCATCACTTTTTCTCTCCACAAATTTTTGTCAAATATTTGATCCAACATTTTCTTTTACTGAGAGATCATCGTTGGTCATTTCTGGTTGGGCTCCGATAGAGGACCGGACCAAATTTTGTCATAGAATCACTTGGTGATAGAAATAAAGATGAATCGTCAACATCACGTCGATTTTCAACTTTTTTAGTGCTGCCTGGCATAGAATTACAACTTCGAATTGATCAACAATCTTAACTCTCTTTGGCTTTCGCCATACACTATATTTAACTCAAAGTCAGCTCAATATTTCATTCTTGTTCCGCTGTTCGGCTGTCTGTTCGGTAACATTAGCATCCGACAACTGGATTCGAATATTGCCAGTTCTCGGTGATAATCAATTTGCCATTGAGCCATCAATGCACAGAAATCGCCTTCACACTTGGCCATATAACGCATTAATCCACATAATTATTAATTAAATAAATATATTATTAACACTATACACTATATTATATTAATATTAATATATAACAATAATATATAATGTTAATATTATATTATCAATATTATATATTGTTAATATAAATATTGATAATATTATGTAAAAAATAAATATTATTAATTAAATAAAGGAAAAAAATTTAATATGAACATTTTATTCTTATAATTTTATTAACTCTTAAAAATTTCGTCAAATAATTAAAAATAAAGGGAAATTTTAATTAAACATTTAATATATAAAGCAAAATGCGCAGAGATTTAAGAGATTTAACAAAAAATATCTGAAAATTTAAATTTAACATTATTCTAATATTAAATTTACTAAATTTATTCAAATTTGTCAAAATTTATTAGAAATATTGGAATTTTGTAAATTTCCTCATTTAAATGCATAAATAAATTATCGAATTTTCTCTCGAGAAAATATGAAAAAATTTAAAGGCAAAAAATTACACTCAGCGCATTCAGCACTTCTTGGCGCATTCGAAAGATACGACTCATCAAATCCGTTTTTCTTTATCGACGACGCTATTAAAGATATTCAGGTTGGATTTGGATCGTTTTTGGTTCCATTATTGAATTAACGAAATAAATTTAACAAAAAAAAGAAATTTTTTTTACTCAAATAAAATACGATCGCAAAGATGAAAAATGCTAATTGTTTTTTTCTTGTAGATTAGTGAAGAAAATCAAAAATTTCAAGCAGATTTCATCCTAAAATCTAAATCTTTTTAATAGTGATTAGTGATTAATAAATAATAGTGATTATTTCTAAAAAAGCACGTTTTATTGGCAATCAGTAGAATGAAATTTTTAGTATTACGTCAGAATTATAGCAGAATCCTCAAAAAAACCACTTGATTTTTTAATAACCTACTTAATAATATTTATATTTATATTAATCTCGGAAAGAAGCCAAAATCATGATCTTGAGAGATAATCTACGCAATTCTCAGTCTACTATTATTCATACTCTTCGATTAGGGATATATAATTTTTTTAGGAAATAGCTGAATGGAAATTTCTTAAACGCTGTAGACTGAAAACGGAATACTATAATTATTTTCATCTATTAGCAAATGCAATTATTTCATTCTTCGTAAGTTGTTTCTTTTTTTTTCCAACGATTTGTATTACTACTGTTAAAATTGGCACTCTGCTGTCGACGAGTAAAGCATTTCTAAGCATTTCGATTCGATACCATACCTGAAAGAAATAAAAAGCCATTCAATTTTCCATCGTACAGAGCAAATCGCTAATTCTCCTACATTTCAAGCTCAAAGTCTCTTCTGACTGCATCAGCCTAGATTTTGATTAGCAATACTTTTGCTTTATTCCATCGAATTATTTTATTTATTTTATAAAAAAAATGGTCACATTTCAATGGATAAGACCACGCCATAATTAACCTAAAGTTAAATAGCATAAGATGGAATAAAGGGAAAAAAGGAAAAAGGAACGTTTTTCTGCTGATTACGTGGCCCTTCAGGCTATTTAAATAACTCAACGATTTCTCTTACAAGTTGCATTATTCCTTAAAAATAGAAAATGATTAGCAAAATGAATCATTTAAATTCGACATTTACAAATGATAAAATTTTAATGGAATAAATTATTTCTTCGAACAGGGTAACGATATAAAAAAAAAAAGAGAAGTGAAAAAAATTCAGGGAACGGAAAAAATTCAACCAAACGAAACGAGTTTCAAACCATCGAAGCAATTTGCATCAAAGAAGGCTTCTATAATCGATGCAAGATGCGTGGTTAGTTTTACTTAAAAATGAAAGACAATGGCCACAACTGATATTCACCTATTAATATCAACTGCAGTAACGTGGTGATAATAGCAGTTTTGTTATATTATTCATCATCCTTGGTTAGGATGACTTTATTGACTTTTAAGATGACATGGATTTTCGTCGTAGAGTCATTTGAGGATAGAAATGCAAGTAGGTTTTCAACACCATCTCGATGAATAGCTGATTATACGAGGTTGTAAGCCTAATGACTTGAAAAGTGAAAGTAAAAGAACTGGAAAAAATTGGATGATATTAAGGCGAATCCATTATTCAACCAAATTTTTAAGCATACTTAACGGATTTAATTAAATCTCATTAAATCTCATTAATATAATAGTGCCAGTAAAATGGACTATATTAATGGAAGCAAGAATTTATCAAAAAAAATAACTTTTTTATTTGTAGCAAAATCATCGGAAGCGATTTAGCATAAAACCCGCAGGAAATGAAGATGAAACGAAACGTAAAGATTCACTTTTACGATCTATAACTCAATTATTGGTAGCAATATTTCGTAATAATAATAATACAATAATATTTTTATATTTGAATATGATAATTGGGGAGTAGAATTAATCGTTGTTATAATTTCGGAGCAATTTCGAAGCCGACAGCAATTCTATTGTGAGTTGGAAGGCAAATAAAGCCAATCTCAAAAATTAGAATGGTGCTAGTGATCCATCTACATTTCTGTCGCCAGATGCCATCCTGGAAAATCCATTTGGTGTAACAAACCAACGGAGCAAATTTAACCAGAAATGATGAATGCTTTCAGAAAAAAAAACCTAATATGTTTAAACGAATGGAAATAGTATTATATTATATCATATTTTTTTTCTACTACTACTTAATAGTATCTACTTACATATTTCATCTTCTAATAGCGCACACCATTTTTGGTTTAGCGAACTTGAATAATTACTAAGATGGTGATTAAGTGGCAAAAAGTCACAAAAGAATTGAGGACGGTTCAGATCCGAATCCACTCAATGAATGACGCTTCATTCAACAACAATGCCATTAAAGGAAGTAGTATGGCTCAGTTGCTGCGTGTGGAGTACCGATGCTAAGATTCTCAAGTTTTACCTCGAGTAACTTGTCCTTAAAACCAGCGTTAAATGATTCTTTGCAACTTTTCTTGATCCAACAAGCCAGAGAAGAGGACTCGTTACCAACAACGATGAGAGCTGAAAAATTAATTACTAATTAATATAAGATGGATTCTTCCCCCACAGAATCACTTGATATTATAGAGTGCGTGCTCAGCAGCGAAACTTATTTCGATTTACCTCATTATGTAAAAAGGTTTAAAAGGGAATTTTTAAAATTTTTTTTCAATTTTTGGAATGGTAATCGGTTGAAACAATTTTCTTCTGATAGCGAGAACGACAAACAACAAGAAACGTTTTATTTAACAATGGAATATGACGAAATATGCGCAAATACGGGGGAATTGGTTACGATTGTTTGTGAGGTTTTCTCACCAGGTAAACTATTCTTAAGCAATATTCCAATATTTCTTTTTTGACGTGAATATTTAGAAAAAACACCATTTTGACTTGATCCAGCTCGGTCGTAAATCTGAATCGGAAGTAATCTAATTAATGTTATATTTATATTTTATTGGAAGCACGACTGCCTTGTTTCAGTCATTTTTTTGTTTCATGCCATGGGAGTGAATGTTTTTCAAATTTGGATACGGAATGAGTCAAGCGAAGGGCCTTTGCGGAAGTTTTATTGGCCTTTTAATAAAGAAAATAGAGATTATTTCATATATGACTAGTAATAATTCGAAGTGGCAATTCTATTACTCCAGGTGCCTTTTAATCATATGATGCTGAATGGTTTATCAGCAATTTTCTCATTAGGATAAGCGAATATTGAAAACTTTAACAATTCACTTGTTATATCGGCGGACCACTTCAGTTCTGACCAGTTCTCGATCTTAAAAACGATGAATGTAAAAACGATGATTGAATTAGAATATTTTTCGATTATTATGTATTGTGAGCAACATAACATTTTCTGTATATGATAAGAATTTATGATAAGAATGCTGCTATCATGTCGGATAAAATTAGCTAATATGACTTGCTACCCATATGATTTCTTTTTTTCTAAAATCAGCTTTTTTTCCATGCGATTAACTGGTTCCTGTAGAAAAAAACTTATTCAATCGAGACCACAGTTATCAATTATCTTAAAGTTGCATATTTCAAGTGCTCATCACTCTTAATTCTAATAATATAGCATAGCAAAATCAGTCAATGAGAAGAAAAACAGGATGGAAAAGATGGCAGATAATAAATTGCAAAAGTCATACCATCACATGTATGCCTAGAGATATTTTCTTTTAACTTGGTATAGAATGGTGATAATAGTATCAAGTGGATATGATCTCATATAATTCCATCGAGCTTTGCTCAAATAACACTTGCATTATCAGTACCATCACAAAGCGCCATCTTTGTTTGTTAAGGCACATTCTTCGTCGCCTATCACAAGACATATATTTCGTTGCTTGCTAAATTTTATGATGGGTGGCGTTAAAAATAAAGAGGGCCAATCAAGGTCTGGACTGATAAGTTAAGAAAGATTTTGAGCATGTAGAGGGTCACCGACATACGGACTTAGACGGTGGAAAAAGGAATGGTTTCTATTACCATCAATAACAATGGCCTCAGCGCAATTTGGAAATCCTTATTTGCTTGCTAGCTGAGCCAGCCTAACCACTAATAGCGAGAACTATTAGAAGAAGAAAGAAGAAAGGGTAAATGCTGTTATGCTCTTGCCCTTTGCCATTAAACAATTTATCCGAATCAAATTAACTCTGCAATTATCGTTATAAAAAAATGGACCACTGATAAACAGAGATTAAGCAAAAGAATAAGCTAAGCTACACTGCTTATTTTAGCTGAAACTAATACACAAATAACATGGTTTATCGATGATAAGGAATTGCTGAATGGTAACAGATATCGAATCTATTATGAAGGATCGTTACATAAATTGGAAATTTTCGACTGTGAATTGGAAGACCATGGTGAAATAAGGTGTAAAGGTGTTAATACGAAATATGGTACAATGACGGTCTCAATGGAACTCAAAATTTCTGGTAAATTTTTTCATTGAATATGCTTATAAATATATTGGATTCATTCATGATTTTAAGGCATAAATTCTCTTCTTCTACCCGCATGCACCATTTGTGATTTGGCTACTTCCACTGATTACTTTGTACTTTTCGCTAAGTGGGTCATCTGAGAATATTGTTAGAAATAAAATCGCCCAGATTTCACTTTAATTGTCTTTTTTGCCAAGAAATGATAACCGCAACTTCTATACAACACTATACGACACGCACTAATATATCTCTGGGCTACTAATTGTAAGAAAGATTTTTCAATTTTTAGTTCAATAACAGCATTTTCAATTTTTAGAAGACGACATTGCTGGAGAAGAACCATTCTTTACACAACAGTTAACTTATGAAGAATTAGAGGAATGTGTAACATTATATTGCACTGCGGATGGTTATCCTATTCCATATGTAACATTCCACAGGCTAGGTCGTCCTCTGCCTACTAATCGCCGGTTTCGTGAGATATTTTTAATACTGAATTTTTGATAAGAAGCCTATTAAAGCTTCCAATCTTGTTATAATATATTGTATCAAGATGCAAACATTCTACTATCATTCCAGTTGTACAAAGAAACGAAAATACGTGGATTTTTCAAATAAATAATTGTACTGTGGACGATGAAGGTATCTACCAGGCAATTGCTAAAAATCGAATGGGTATGTGCACATCGCGTTGCATGATTCTCATACAGAATAAGGATCCAACAACGTATATTGCTGATGTTTAATTAATTATTGAACTCTTCATTAATGAAGAGGAATTATATTTAAGAAAAAATTTATTTCTATAAAAGAAAAAAACAAGTTTATTTGTCAATTTTTATTTTCTTACTTACCATACTTATCAATCAAATTCGAAGAAAAATTAGAACCGTTTTATAAATCATTACTTTAAAAAGTGATTTTGAAAATGAATTTTGAAATTGAAATAATAAAATGAGCAATAAAAAAAAAAATAAAAAACAAGTTTTATTGAATAGTAAAGTACAAATGTATAAAGAAAACTTATGAATAAAAGAAAGATTTTTTTATTACGTTTTACAGAATAGTTTTTAACACAATATTTTGAACAATTTCTTATTATTTTCTTATTTAAGAAGTAATTATTAGTTAAAAAAAATCACCAAGAACGCTCCATAAGATAACTTCTTCTTACTTTTAAAGCTGCAATAAATGAGTAAATAATTTAGATTAGAAAAAAATAAAAAAAAGTGGCAGTACACAGAATGCAACTTAACAAAATAAAGTTGCAGTAGAGAAAATATTCAAAAATTAGAAACGCTGACACTTGATTACCCCGACTTGAAAATTCCAAACCCTTTTCTCGTCTTTTGCTTTTCAGGAGGAGTGGTCCTTAAATGCATTACATTAACTGAATATAAAAGTCAATAATTATACAATGAAACATTTCCAATCAATAAGGATTTCTCCTTTCCGAACAAAAAAAAGGGAAAGGAAGAGTAAGAAATCAGAAGCAAAACAAATATTTTCAATATGAAATTGAGTATGACAGGATAGGAACACGATGATCTAATTTTAGTTAAGGTAAATACCGCATGTAGATTAACTATATGATTAAACCATACAAAATTGTTGCCTACTCTGAGCGAAGAGTGCCGCTTCTCGATTCTTGTCGTGAAAGGGTACCAATTTTTCGTAAATCAACAACATCGTTCATAAGCTGTTCCAACTGTAAACGACGATTTTGCAGTGCCTTACGATTTTCCTTTTCTCGCTCGTCAAGCTATAATAAATAAATAAATAAAATAAAAACAAAATGCAATGAATAAAAATGAATAATAAAAACAATTGAAAAAATTAACTTCATTTTGTTTGGCCATAATTTTTTCTTCATGTTCCCGTTGTTTCTTCTCGAAAAGCTGCAAAAGAAAACTTAAGTTATTTCAAATTTAGACCCTGTATGAATTGTATAAACAGTTAAAAGCGATCAAGAATTGAAAATAAAATGTGTATAGTCATTATTACAAATAAAAATACAAAATACATTTTCCATGCTGGTTTTTTTTTCTTCCAATTCTTTTTCTTTGACTTTTCTTTCATGTTCCATTTGTGTAAAAGGATCTCTGAAGATGAACTGATTGTCATTAATTCAGCTATTCAATTACTATGGGGAAGATTATAAATAATGAAAAGCGAAAATTTCCGAATATAAAAATATAAAAATGCAATGTAATTTTCAAAACCATGCTTATTTCAGAAAATTAAGCAATACCTATCATTAGCATCCGTCTTTGATCCTTTACTCAATTGCCGAAAACGAAAATTTTCGTAATGAACATTTTTTGTAACGACAATCAAATCAATCAAATTCGTTCTAAAAATAATTTTTTAAAAATATAGATGAGAATATAGTAATCTTTTTTCGCTTATTTTGGAAATTTGAAAATTATTTTTTATTCTTTCAAAAAATTTTAAAAATTAAAAATTTTTGAAAATACTCATTATCTGTAAAATATCTATAAAATTGAATTTTACCTAATAATCATATCTCTGACTGCAATGAAATCATTATGTTTCAAATTTTCAACTTCGGTTATGCCCCAAGGATATTCACGGAATCGCATTCTTTTACCATTGATTTCTTTCATCTAAATTTAATTAATACAAATAATGAAGACTTTTTTTTCTGAAAAAGGGTCAGTACCTGGAAACAGGACAGCTTTTAATGATTTAAAAATGAAAAGGCAAAAAAAAATTGTACTTGATTACTACCAACAACTGCAAAAGGATAACGATCTCGAAGTGGCCCAAATTGTTTTCGTTCATCTTCATCATCATATTCAGGAAATTTATATAACTTTATATTAGAATTATCAATTTCTTTTAAGATCTGAAAAAAATAGCAAAAATACAATATCTAATTATTGTATAATATACAATATCTAATTAAAAAATTTGCGAGGCTAGCAAACAATATCTAAGATAGTAGAAAACCATACTTGTGCCTTGAAGCGGTTCAATTCATCAGTGGTCATTGTATCTGCTTTTCCAATGATTGGAACTACATTGACCCGATCATGAAGTTTCTTCATTACTTCGATATCTAATGGCTTCAATCTGAATTTTTCATACCAAAAATATATCAAAAATTATCGAAAATAAGAAAAAAGATCTTAAAATTAAAGTGGTAAAACTGGACATATTCCAAGAACTTTAAACAATTGCCGAAGGCGTTTTAATAGCAATGTCATTTATAATAAAAATTCTGTATTTCAAAATTACCCATGCCCAGTTGGCGCGACAAAATAGAGACAAAGATGTACACGTTTATCAGGAATATATGCTGAACGTTCGATTTTTGTTTCTTCAGAAAAATAGTCGAAATATTTCCGCTCAATAAAATTAATGATTGGATCCCAACTATAAAAAAAAAGACATCGATCATCATAAATCATCGATGAAAAACCATATTTTAAATAACATCAGTGTGAATCAAGATGAAAAGTGATATTACCACTTATTATTATCAATAGCATCCCCAAATCCGGGTGTATCCACGAGAGTCAAATCGAGCGAGACTCCATTTTCCACCATACGAACTGTTTTTTCCGTAATCTCGGTTGTAGCCGATAGTGGAGTAGTCAAAGGAATTTTAGGATCATAGATTTCAGCAGAAAACAAAGAATTTAAAAATGTAGATTTGCCGAGACCAGAACAACCTAAAAGAAAAAATAAATGATCACTAAATTTAATTAAGAAAATCCATTAAAATATTTTAATAAAATAATATTTCCTAAACAAAAAAATGCAATGAAGGAAACAAGAAGGATAAGAATAAGTGAACAAACGTACCGACTACCATTAAAGTGAATTCAAATCCATTTTTAACAGCTCGGCGGAAAACTTGATTTGGAAAATTCGCAAACCCCACATAACTATGCACATCTTTTATTGAAGCAGTGCGAATTGACATATCCAATTTTTGTGACGAAATATCCGAATTAATACTTTCTGATACATTGAAAATTATTTTTTCATAATATTTATATAAACTTTTAAACAAAATAATAAAAAATTTAAATAATAATTGAAAAATACGAAAAAAATTTAAAAACTATGCAAAGATATCAAGGTTAGGGGAATATATGATAATGGTTTCCCCTCTGAGAAATGGTATTTTGATTATTTTTCTATAGCAACAATATCATTTTTCTATAGCCCTTCGTATTTTGAATATTCTTTTGTTATATAAACTGGTAAATCTTTTATTCGAATGAAAATAAATAAAGTAATGATGCAAAAAAATGAAAAAATGAGTTTCTACCAGTAGCCAGTAAAGGAACAGGAAGGAATATAATAGGTAAGAAAATTTCCGTTTAAACAATGGCGCCTTCTTCCGAACCATAACTGTGTACAATAAAAATTAATATAACTGCGAAAAAAAAATAAAATTAAATTAAAACAAACTATTATTCAAGACTGAGATTTTTTCGCCATTTCCACGCATATTTTCAAAAACATTAAATCAATTTCCACCCACCTGGAAAAAAACCATCGATCGTTCTATTCTTAATTGCCAAAATCGTTATCATTCTTATCATTTTTTGCTATTATCATTACCAACAAAACCATTTAAAAAATCATTACATCAAAGACGATAAAATATTGAAAATAAATGAGTAATAAATAATAATACGTATTTTGAAAAAATTTAAAATTTAATTATATAATTATATAATATATAATTATAAAGAGAAATGTATAATTATAAAGAAAAGCCTTGAAATTTTTGGTAAATTTTTAGTTTCAAATTTTGAACGAAGAATTTATGAAAAGGTGAAAAAACAAATAAAAACAGATAAATTGTGTTAAATAAGAATAGTAACAAATAAATAAATAACAAATAAAAATAAATAAAATAAAATACATAAAAATAAATAAACAAACAACAAACAAAGAGAATAAGTAAAAAATTAAAACAGTATTAAAATATAAATGAAAATAAAAATAATTAAACGGAGTTTTTTTAAAATAAAATTTCTCATTAAATTTTTTATTTTTTATTAATTTTTTAAAAATAAAATATTGTAAAAATTAAAATAAAGCAAATAAAAATAATTTTCTTAATTATCAATTTAATTGATAATTGATTTTAATTTAATTTAATTTAATCTCTTTATCAATTTTTATTAATTGTTTCTTACTAATTCAGTTTTTGCTTAATTTTTTCCTCATAAAAAATTTTATTTTATTGAATTTTACTCCACTCTTTTTTTAATTTTATTTTTTGAATTAATTTTGAATTTTATTGATTAATTTTAATTTTATTCTACTCTTTCCTTGTTTTAATTTAATTTTAATCTAATTTAATTTAATTTTTTAATTTTATTCATTTTTTTTTTAAACGAAAAGCCAAATAAAAATTTTAAAAAAAGGAAAAAAGGAGGAAATATGAATAATCAAATTTCGAGCCAATTTTTCGCAGTTTTCCCCGACGAAATCAATTAATTCCTCAAACGCAAAAAGAAGAGAAGAAGAACCACAGAATCATCCCCGCCATCCTAACCCACTCCTTCCCTCCCTTAAAACTCCTCTCTCATCGAAAGGAGACGAATGAATTTGAGCGCGAATTCAAAAAGTGAATAAATTTAAATAACCTGATACAGATCTAAATTCCCTTGGGGGTGTGGCCGACATTTGAGTCGCTCCGTTATCATATATTCGCGTATAAATAAAAATCAGTAATTTAAGTACTGGTATCTATGGTTTATAGGTGAATGTGGCCCATCTGGGCGAATATCACTAGATACGTCACAAGTACATCGTTCTTTTCAGGAAAGCATTCATATCAGCACCAAGCACCGAGCCCTTTAAAAGACATACTTGCAGACATACTCGCACAGCAACACAGAACGTACTGGAAATCACCTAAATATTCGACTATATTGCCATACATAAATAGATGTGAATTTTTAGAGATTTAGGTGGTACATTAGTATCAACGACAATTTAAGAGGTAGAATAAGAAACAGTGCTCGTGCTCGCCCTTTGTAATCCGATTAGCTCCACTGGACAGGACCTTCAAACCTTTTCCATGGAGGCGGAAGATCATTAAACGGATTTCTGAAAGAATAATCTATTTCTGCAAGGAACAGAAGCGGCAAGTAGAATAACAACCGAGCCTACTGAGCCGTTCTATTTGTCAATGGATGATACGAGTAGTTCCAATACGTTAAAGAGAGACGATGACCGCGATGGTTGAAAAATAACCAGCAAAATGGAACAAAATTTGCATTTCTACTAAAATCATTTTCGTTATGTCATGTGAAATATTATTTTTTTCGCTAAAAAAATTTTTTATTTCCATTATTTATTATTATTATTATTAATAATAATTATAGTAGTTGAAAATTTTTCTTCATCTTCTAATAAAATATTTCGGATTCAGCGAAATCGCAATGATTGCTTCAAGTGAAACCTTCATCCTTTCATCCTTCCACTGCACAAACTTCATCTTCGAAATCCTTTCTTTCCTCTTTCATCCTTTCTCGAAGTAATAATTTTATAAGCATTATTAAAGGAAAACTCACTAATATTCTTTACTAAACTCACTAATAATTCACAATAGTTCGCCGAAATTTTTAAGACAATACGATAATGCAATTCGTGAAAAAAGGAAAAAATTTATCATTTGAATATTTCTACTACAATTCTTTATTACATAAATTATAAATTTTCGAATATATAAAAATTAAAATAAGAAAATAAAATATTTGGTGTAATATTTTTAATATATATTCATACATTGGTATTTATTTTCTCCTTAAAAAAATCGAATTATGATAATAATAATTAATAATTCATTAATTTAATAAATGCATCTTTCAGAAAATTGAGAAATAATAAAATATTTAAAATAAAAAATTTAAAACATTTAAAACCTGCAAGTTCAACACAAGATTTTCAATAAAAGGAAGTACCAAAGCTTAATTTTTCAATATTGGCCTCATAATTCATTACTTTAAGTTCTTATAAGAGCTCACAAGAAGTTCAAATCTTAATGTCATAAATGGATATTGCAATTTTTCCTTCTTTACTTCTAATTTTTTTTAGTTGCTCCAATTTATTAAAAATTAATTTTTGGATGAAAAAAAATTGAACGAATCAATTTACAAATAGTGAAAATGAACATTCGAATAATATAAATGTTTGAAAATTTTTATAAATTCAGAAAGAGATAAAATTTTTTCATCAAAAAACTTAAAAATATTTACAGAAGAAAATTCGAGCCTAATTAAAGTGAACAAAAAATAAGTGGTAATTCAAAATAAAAAGAATTTTACAACAAATTCGAATAAAAAGAAAATTTTATTGAAATTTTAAATCGTTATTTTAAAAAATTTCCTGAAAGGATTTCAATGAGATCGATGGATGAAATTGAATAGAAAATAACTTTCTTTAAGAAAAAGAGAACGAAATATTTTGCTAATTTTTCTAATTTGCCATTTTCAAATGAGAAAAAAATATGAAAAATTTATAATTTCATTTATTTTATTAAGAAAAAAAAGAAAAAGATATAGGTAAAAGATAAATAAAGAAATTTAAATTTAAAAAATTTAAAAAATTTAAAAAAATTCTATTCTAAGAAAATGAAATCTATTTTTAGAAATGTAAATTTCTTTAAAAAATTCGATTCAATGCTTAAAAAAAAGGCCTAAATTTGAGAATATCAAATTCCTAATAGAACAAAATAAAAGGCCATTACAAGACGAGAAGTTATGCTAAAGTAATGTTTATGACCTATTTTGAGGCTACGAATTCTTTGCAGAAGTGTCGTTTGATGTGTCGTTAAGTAGATCGAGAAATAGCCTTGACTTAAGAAATCGCCTATAGCTATCTTTTGCCATTAATTGTTCGATTCGACTTTGAGCCAATGTGAACATATTAGGCTTTGCACCATTTTCTAAAGCAGCTTTTGTTGCTGCTCGTGTGTCGCTATCCAAATTCACCTAAATTTTATTAAAAATATATTGATTTATAAAAAAACTTTGCAAAAGAATTTCTCATGAATAAGAGATAGAATTATCTATCGAATCCAAAATTATCTGAACGAAATTTCTGTGAATTGTTGCGTAATTATTTTGAAGCACCGATGCTAGGTTCTAATCGCAACAGGAACAAATATGACTTCCGAAAATTCAAGTGACGGTGGACTCATTAGCAAAATTTGCCTGGTCCGGCTAGTCTCCAGAGGAGCGAGTGATTAGATATGGTGAGATATGTTAGCTCTGAGAAAATAAGTAATAAATTTGAATAAAAGATCTACGAATCAGCGAAATTAAATTTTTGGAGTTATTTGAAGATCTCAAAATTAAATTTATAAATTCAAATAGATATATAAATATATAAATTTTTAGGCCAAGGAGAGGATTTGCATGTGAAACAATTAATCATCCGAAAATTTCTCATATTTACCAAAGAACCATCCAAAAAAAAATTGAATGGTCATAGCGAAGTACGCGGGAGGCAGGGGGCGGCCGAATTGTTACTCAGTTTATTGTCTTCAATACCTCCAATAAGAGATTCATTATAAAACTTGGGTGGTGCTGTAGACCTATTTTTAGTTATACAATGGAATGACTGCATGATAAAAATTCCTTAGTTCATATTTTCACAAGTCCAATCACAAATAATCCAGTTAAATATAAGAATCTAACCAAAAATAAAATGGTACCACTAAATTTTTTAATATTCATAGCCACGCATTCTATTAGGTTAAAGTTGAAACATTCCAACATGTTTGTTGAATATACGTAATATGCGATTGGCCACGATTTGATCTCATAGATACTGTAAGAATAAAAAGTATAATAATAAAGTCGAACTTCCTTAGGTGACTGCTCAGCAACATATTCATTATAAATAGCATGTGCCCTTTGAATTGTCGATTTTTTTCCTTCTTTTAATTTTTTAAATTCTTCACATTCAATCCAAAAATCGACATTTTCATCACTGAATTCGCCTTTTAAAAATGTTCGGAAAAGAAGACAGCCATCTAAAAAAAAATAAAAGAAAATAAAAATTCAACAAGTAAAATAAATAAATTTAAAAATTTACACTTTTCTGATAAGAAAAAAACAAAAAAAACCATAAAATATAAGTAAATTCGATAAGATATATTCACTTTATTTATCTTTTCTCTTTCAACAATAAAAATATTCGATCAAAAAGATTTCCCATGAGATAAATATATTAAATTACATTCGTTGGAATAAAAAATTAAACTAAAAATACTTAAAAAATTTTATTTTATAAACGATTTATAGTTTCTCCTTCAAAAATATTTCTCTTTATGACACAAAACTTGTTAAATCTGAAGTTCCCCAAGGTATTGCGCCATTGCTTTTTCTATTATATATAAACGACATCACCAATGTGGTACTAAATTCTATTATTGATCTTTATGCTGATGAATGCAAAATTTATTATTTTCATGGTAGAACAGATAGCTTATCTCCACTGCAGGAAGACCTCAACAGAATAGCCAGCTGTCTAAATGGCAGGCAAATTACCCTTTCCTTTCAAAAATGTATCGTTCTTCATATCAATTCTAATGGTTTCAATTTTCCTAATCTTATTATTAATAGCAATATAATCAGTAGAGTCCCATACATTCAGATTTTGGAATAATTATGGATGAAAACCTCGATTTCGACTTATCAAAATGCACAAAGCATTCATTCATTCATCCGGCCACTTCTTGATTACAGTGCTACATGTTATTCCCTAAGATATCGTAAATCAAGTAAAATAATTGAAGGATTCCAAAAATATTTTATACGGCGCCTCTCTCCTAATTGCAATTTTAATTATAAAAGAAAATTTCTACAACCTGGATATACCTGGATTTTCTCTTACTTCGCTATATTATGTATTAAACAAGAATTAATTTATACTTATGAGATTTTGTATGGTTATGTTAAATTAGATTATTCAAAATATTATAATTTTAGGTTAAATTTAAATCCAACAAGAACTAATAGGCTAAAATTACTAAAACCTATGTGTAAAACAAAACTAAGGACTCATGATTTCTTTAATCGTAATATTAATTACTGGAATAAACTACCGAACGACATAGCTTGTGCGCCATCCTTAGTTATTTCTAAAAAAAAGAATAGATAATATCATTTATGATAAAAAATTCATATCATGCAGGAAGTGTAAAATCTCCATTTTTACCATCCGATTATAGTTATTTCGAATTGTACTATATTATATTATTTTGCAATATCCTCTTTATCTCATTTTTAAATTGTTAATTATATTTTATTTTATTATTATTTTTTTGTTTTTGCCACTAATTCTTATTATTGGTTATTTTAACTGTTGTTATTAATACAAGCACATGGCGTTTGGCCCTGCTTGGCTGGTTTTTAATAAATTTTTTATTAGCGACTTCTTACGCGAGTGATACCAAACAATTCGCTAAATGACTTTTCCCCAGAGCAAAAATCTCTATTAACATCTCTATAAGCTAGAAAAGTAATATAGAGAGATACGAGTTCTGAGTGATTTTGGCTTAAAAGCCAATCAGAGTGCTATGCTATCTAATCAGAAATGCTATCATAGATCCTTTTTTAAGAATAAATTTAAACGAACAAACATTTGTGATTAAGGAGACTCTCGAATGATTCTTGCCAATTTCGAACTTGTTCCTTGGTTGGATATAACGTTGACGTACTTGCTGCATCCATTTTATTTTTCAAATAACCAAGAGTTCTCGTAAAACGACTACTACAACTCAAATATTTCCACGAATTTCGCTTCATTGTAGAAAATTAAATAAATTTTTTTTTTTTGAAAAAGACAAATTTACAATTCGACCGATTTTCACAAAAAAATAACTTAAAAAATTCAATATTTTTAAGTTAAGATTTTTTTTCTTGAAATTTTATTAATTTTACAAATTATTTAAACGGCGAAATTATTATTTATAGGGGCGTTGAATATTTTATGATTTTTGAATTTCGAATTTTCTACATAATTTTTCATTTAGTTAGCGTATTTACTAGTTTGTCAACAAGAACGAAGCGCTTTTTCCTTTTCAATCGTTCATTAGAGAAACTGAAAATGAAAAATGGATGGACCTCCAAGCAATAAAATTTCAATAATAAAACTTATTTTTATTAAAATCGCTAAAATTTCTTTAAAAGAATCGAAAAATAAAAAATCAACACAAAATAAAGTTTACAAATTAAATTTCCATTTTGATTCGTTATCGAAATCTTCGCGTTTTTGCGCATTCGTCGTTATTGCTGCCGTTTGAGATTTTGGACTAAATGTGAATGATGCGGCTCGTTTAAGGCCAAACGAATTCGTATGCTAAATTTAATAATTATTTAAACTTATTAATTTAAAAAAAATTTAATAATTAAAAAATTTAATAATTTTTATTTTTATTTTCTTTTTGCTTCTATAAAGAGATTTAGAAAATGTTGAAAAAGAGCGAACGAAATGAATGAATATGCAACCTTTTTTGTGGTTGATAATTTCGCTTGATTTCCAAGTAATTTTTCATCGACATGTAAAAATTTTCGATTCGGATTACATTCATTTCTTCGAATACAATCGTTCGATGAAATATCTGACATGCCATCACCTTTAAGATTATTTTGCTATTTGTAAAAATCGCGAAAAATATTTATCGAAATTTACAATAGGAAAGCTAAACGGTTTTCTACAGTGAACTTGACTTATCAGATTGAACGGTTTAAATATATTCAGAGCGTCCTTAAGAACAACAGTCATGTTTTAGATGTCGAACACACTTTTCCAATTTATAATCGTGAAGAGTATCACCAAGGGTTGTTGGTTACTCACCTTTGCCGTTGCTCAATCTTGAGTTATAGCCATTGTAGAAGATCCTTGGCCTTGGATCATTCCCCCTTAGTAGCTTAGTGGAAAAACCAGGGAGTTCTTTCGTAAACTGATAAATAAAATAAAACGCTTATGATTACGATGACTGGCTTATATTAGTAACAAAAGAACTAAGAATAGTGCAGTAGTTTATTGATATAAGTGGAGTGAAACGTTAAATTTCACTTCGAATGAAAAAAAAGATGTGAATTTTTTATTTTTTATGCGAAATTTCTACCCGAATTCCTATAGATTTTCTTAAATAAGAAATGCTCAAATTTCTGATTAATTCTTGGTCTAGAATAATAATGCACATCATTTGATTATTAGAAACCATTTATTATTATCATTTATCAATTATCACATTACCTTTATCAGTTCTTATTTTGAATTTTTTTTTCAAAAATGGCGCAGCAGTAGGAAAATTAAAAGATTCTCTAGATTTTTAAAGGATGGAAAAAAAATTTACAAATAAACTTTAACAGTGGAAAAAAAAAGAATAACAAACTGGTAGTAATTATAGAAGGTAAATGAGGTCGACAGTAATGAGACGATATAAGACTCGAACTGGCTGTCGAATAATCCAGATCATTATGACGAATAGTTAATGGTGCTTTACGATTAGCAGAAGCATCATTAGCTATGCAATGAAGAGATGTGGAACTTGCACAGTTGCACTGATTTGCGAAAATACGAAATGGTGTATCTTCACTTGATGATAACGATGATAACTGTGTTGATGATGATGAATGACAATTGTTATGGCGCATTATCTAAAAAAATAAACTAATAAAAATTAATAAAATTTATGGAAAATTAAATTAATAAAAAATTAATAAAAAAATAAGAAAAAACATATGAAATATTCAGAACATTGTTGAATGCAAACCAAATATAATTCATCATATTCCAATAAATAATTCTGATAAAAATAATATTTTGCAATTTCTGATAAAGTTCCTTCAAGAAAAACGATAAATCACCCACTACTCACCATAAATCACACAGCTCTCACTACTACTGATTAGGCTAATCTCACTGGATACAATAGGGATACGTTTCCAAGCCGCGCAATCTGATGCCATCACCATTGAATGGTATTCATCGTTTTTAATTTAACTAATTTACCATTGAATATTAGCTACTGATAGATACCATTCCAATAAGACAAATCACTTAGGATAGAATTTTCGACAGATTATTCCTTATAAGAATTACAAATGGGTCCTAAGTACCACAGTTTCGCTTCAATAATAGCAAGAGAGCTCTTGTTGATTGGATCATTGGATCAAAGCAACACACCATTCGTGTTCTATATTCTATTTTATGGAAACTATTATTTCTAATTAAAATGACGAAAGAAAATTGAAATGAGACGCGACAAGCGATATCTGATAAGTAAGAACAAGTTTTACTTATTAATCTCCCGATAGTTTAGTGATTGAAAATTGTTTTAAAATTTGACAGTTAATTCAAAAAGATTCGTAGAGAGATAAATGACGCTTGGAAATGTATAGGAAAAATATTGGAAATATTTATGAAAAAAAATTTATAAAAAAAAAAATCTTATATAACAAAAAGTAGATACACATATAAAATAAAATATATATATAAAATATATATTTTAATTTATCAGATTTTTTTATATCAATATCAACTTTTTAATTGAAAATTTTCAAAAAAACAAAAAATACGAGGAAAAATGATGATGCGATTAATAAAATTAGATTAAATTCTCATTAATTTAAATAAATTACTAAATAAAACATATTTGATAAATTGAAATAAATGAAATTTTTTTTTTAGAATTTTCACCAGTACTGGTTAAACTTGCTCCGCTGATTTGTCACATTGGACAAATATGCCAGAGAGTCCCTTGACGATAGAAATACAGGTGAGTCGCAAGAATTGTCCGAAATAAATGAAATATATTCAAATATAAAAAAAAATTAAAACATAAGAGAAAAAATAAATGCGTTCAAAATTCGTCATTAAAAATACTTCATGCATAAGTGACCAAACACTGACTGCTTCTGATTAAGCTCATTCCACTAATTTCTAACTAATTAGAAATTAGTGGAATTTACTTGCAGATAGAAGCAGTCGTATGTCCTCAGAACCCATTAGTATTAGTATTTTCTAATAAAAAATTCACTTATGCCAGATGCAGATTATCAACGTTTAATGCTCGAAATGATAGTAGCAATTTGACTATCCGACTAATTTCATAAGGAAAAATATAAGCTTAATTTATTTTCTTATTTAATTTATTTAATCATAAAATTACTAAAAAAATATATTCAATTGTAAAATTCCATTAAATTGAGTAATTCCTTTTCTAACAGCTTTCAGCATTACTGATTAGGCTGGTTCGGCTCGCTACAAAAAGTAAGACGTTTCGATCTAATTCCATAGCTGATACTAAAAGAAACCATTGCTTTATCCACCGTCTAAGTCCATATATCGCTGGACCTCTTACACGCTCAAAATTTTTTCCTAATTGTACCAATCCAGGTCTTGGCTTTCGCCGTCATCCATCAAAAAGTTTAGCAAGAAACGAAATAACAAAATATATGCCAACTCCTGTGGTAGACAATGAAAAACGTGTCTTAAGCGAAAGCTCTGTGATGGTACTATTAATGCGAGTCGTATTTCTAGGTGGATACAGTCGTTAGAGAAAAAAATTGAACGATTAATATCTATTTATTATTTACTTATTTATTATATAAAATAATCAATTAATTAATCTAAACTAATTAATCCAATATTTTAGGGATTTAACAACGCTCATTAGGTTAAAATATATGTCATCGATAATAAATAAGTCTTCCTTAAATCTTCATAAGTTTAATTGCCACACGAAATTTAATCTGCTTCTGATCTATTTGCTCGATAAAAAAAAGGAGATTTCAAACAATCGATCTCATGAATCTTACAATTAATGAATAACTACAGTGCGAAAAAAATTTTTAAAAACTTGAAGAAAAGAACTAAAAAGAAGGGAAAAATTAAGGAAAAATTAATTAATAAATTAAATTTCAGATTATTTGAGATTATTAAATTAAGAATCAAGAAGAATATATAATTAATATATTTTATAATATTTAAAATTAATAAGATTAATTGATATGAATTTTTTTTAAATTTTTACTTAATGATAACAAAAATAATATGCATTCTACTGGTATATCAAAATGATAAGCATTCCGTCCATATATTAATTACGAATGCTTTAATATAATTGTAGTAATAATAATAATAAATAATATTAATTGATAATTAATAAGAACAATGATAATAATGGCGATAATATTAAAATAATGATAATAGTAAGAATAATTCAGCTAATAATGGGGGACAGAATGCCTCAGTGGGTTGTTGCTCAATTGGAAGCGCCGACGCTGAGGTTCGATTCCCCCCCCCCCCCCAGGGTAAACCTGTATTGTAAAAATCCGGGTATTGTTGGCGACTCATCTGTATTTCTATCGCCAAAGAACTCCCTGGCATATTACCCAATGCGACAAGCCACTGGAGCGAGTTTAACCAGTAATGGTGAGGACTCTCAAAAAAAAAAAAATTCAGTTAAAATAAAAAAATCATAAATAAGACAATTAATAGCGCAAACAGTAATATGGCAAAATGAAAAAAGTTTTATAAATATTCGAAACGAAACGCAATAAATTACAAATATGAATAGTTTTCCGATTAAACGATTAATATCGCATTTACTTTTTTATCCATAAAAATAGCTAAATTAATCAAATCTTTTCTTGGAACGAAAACCATGTAAATTTAGAAAATGAATTTTAAACATGAACATGAATTTGAATTTATGAAAGGAATAAATTAAACTTTAATTAACTAATAATTAATAATCGTTATCAATAAGATTGCATTCGTGAAATGCCCAACC